AAAAAATATTTCTTACTGAAATTATACTCAGCCATTTCAATTCAGTCGTCCATAAAACTCACCTCCTCAGTTCAACCCTGATTAAACGTCGTTTCACACGACTGAAGGATGGAATACTGCTACCATATATGGTCTGGAGACCTCGTTGTTCGTTTTAAGGTCTTCGACAAAATCCAGAGATGGAAATGCAATCTGATTGGCCCTGATGTGGCATCTCGTTTTAAGTCGCTCTCTTTCACAGACGTGCCGTCGCTTCTCTCTGTCTTTTCTACAAATACTTTCACGGTAACTGCTTTGACGAACTACTTTCGCTGGTTCCCAGACTGCATGAATTTAAGCGTGCTACTAGGTTGGCATCTCAGTCCCACCCATTCACTGTCGAAACGGTTACATGTAGCCGTCTCTTCTACTCCAATAGCTTCATGTCTCGAACTTTCTCTCTGTGGAACTCCCTTCCAGTTACTTGCTTCTCGGATAGCTATAAACTTCAACTATTCAAATGCAAAGTCAGTCGACATCTTCAATTGCTTTGATCTAATTCCCCGTCTTTCTCTTCGTCATTTCCTCTATCACAACACTTTACTCTTGCCCAACTCTCTGTAACCCCTTGCGTGTTAGTGGCACTCCAGCCTTGCTTGTCGTGAAAAGCTTTAAAAAATCACCCATTTCATGGGTCGAGGCAAGAAAGAAGATAAATAAATAGAATATTCCGGAAGAAGTTTTTGAAGACAGAAAAAAGATAAGCAAACAGAAAGAAAAAATGATTGATTGATTTGTTTTCTGCACCTTATCAACCCTTTGCAGGTTATTTCAATCCAGGAAATATTTGTAGATAGCTTTTCGTGGGGGTTAGATAATAATGGGTTTTTAGGCTAATTTCAAACAGGCCTATTTGTTTTATAGTCAGTTTGTGTCGCTTTTATCTAAAATATGTTAAAACCGTCCAAAAATACACAAACAGTTTCTTTTTCTCTTGTTAAACAGAAACGTAATAATAAAAGATTGTAAACAAACAAAAAAGTTATTAAAGAATTAAAAAACAATAATATAAAAAATACACGTATAAATCTTACCAACAGTTTCTCTACAAATTAATTTTCTTTTGACCTTTGCTTTTTTTTTGTTAAAATATTCTACAATGTTTTTTGTTTGTTGTTTTAAAATATATTCAAAACAATTTTTTCAGTGCTGTTGGCAAGTAAAATCATAGCTTGAAGAATAAGATTTCAAAATTCTTTCAGCAGTCTCTCTTGTAGTGGGTTCATCATGTTTTACAATAAACTTATCTACGCATTCAACTATAGCAAATCAAGCACAAACGAACTCTGCCATTTAGCTAGATGGAACCATTATACTTCCTCGAGAAAGTAAGTCAACGTACTGCTTCTCTGTAGCATCATCACTATCATTCGCTACCATAGCCAGAGAAGACATTTCACATTGAAAACGTTTGATTTATTTTTTTAAATTTTCTCTAATAAAGAAAAAGATGGTAATGGAAATTTCTCCAGAAGTAATCTGTAGGCTTGTTGAGACGTATAGCGCAGTAGTAAGGCATAACGTATTAGTTCTGCAAAAAATGAAAGACGACCTCTTGAATGGTAATGTTGTCTTTTTGTAATTCTTGTAGAATTGAGTATGGTCATTCTTCCACCACGTTTTTATGTAGTTTTGAAATTTTTCTAACATGCTAAATCTTGTGAGTTTAGTATTATAAACCAAAGTGGTAACGGTAGAGAGGTTCCATTGCACTGGAATTGGACGTTAAGGTTTTAGTCAATGCGAATAAATTCTTTTATAGATTAAAATGTGTTTCGGGGTCAAAAACTAATCTATAAATAAGAATATAATCTTCCTTTTTTGAAATTAAAAATCGGTAGGATAACAATTTCCTTCTTCCAACTGAGTAAAATCTTTTATCCTATCAGATGAAATAAAATCATGTAATTATTCATCAATTTGGACCCGTCTTTGTTTTGGAGGCTTTCTTAATTCCCTTGTATTCAGCAAAAAGACGGTTTTCTTATTTTTTTTTCTGGATGTATTGTATGTATTGGATTTAAATCCCAATTCAGTTTGTTTCGTTTTGGTTGGAATTAAATTTCAGATTGTTCTAGTTCCACGTGCCACGCCTCTTCCGGATGTCTCAGTTATTTCCATTTAACTCATCTCTTCAAGTTTTTTTTTTTCTCACCCCTGCTTTTATCCAACAGGCCATGGTTTTCCGATTAACAATTCTAAGCCATTATCGATTACACCATCGGCACATCCAATCTTACAGAACCTGGTATTATCAAGCGGTCAGTCATCTAGGTACTGACCAGGTTTGACGTTAACTTAGAAGATCTTACCAGAGCCGCTGTTTCGACGTTATGTGGCCGTAAGCCTTGATGCATTTTTATTTGTTCTATTGTGAATACGATTTAAGAAGCTAGAACAAAACCAATAAAAATTAAGCCTTTTCTTTGCAGCAGAATGTGCAACTTACACGACTGTAGAATTTCAGACAGTGTTCGTTTTCATGGGGCCAATTATCTTTCTTCTCCACGGGTGGTCAAGTTGTACTGGAAGAGGAGTGATTTGATCGAGAAACCCCCTCTAGAACGTTTTCCAATAAAGGCTATAGAATCCAGGCTGTCCTGCTATTTAACTTATAGCTGATGGAGAAGCAATAGTTTCCTACTTTTTGCATGAGTATTTGCGCTTAAGTGAATGTAATAGACTTTACTGGAATTCGAACTTTGTTCTCCGAATTCTCTTTCCGAGCCGCTATGGACATCACATTCACATCCAAAGAAGAAAAGCAAATCTAATTTCATTATGAAATATTCATTGAAATCTATTAAAAAGTATGTTACCCCTGCAGTTTAATGAGGTGAATTTACAGTTCGTATAAGCATGTTGCATACCGACTTTGATATAATTCCATACTGGTGTAAATATGTTCGCATGGAGCTCTGGTCAGAGTAATGTAGAGTCAGTCGTCTTGATAAGACGATGTATCCAGTTCTTGAACCTTTTTCGTTTTTTATCCTTCCACCAATTTTCCCCGTTATCAGGCTTTTCATTCTCTTTCACCTTCATTCCTTGTAACCCCGTGCGTTCTAGTAGTTTTATTGCCTTGTTTGGGTGAGAAACGATTTAAAAAAATCATTTTTGACAAGGTAACACTTGTACGCATACAAGAAAAATATGATAAAAAATAACGTATTACAACCCAAATATGTATAAAAGAAATACTTCTTACTTAACAACTTTATTCCGTACCAACGAGCTCGTCGCTAAACGAGGTGGTCGTTAAACAAGTGTGTCGTTAAAAGAGAACGTTGCCAAACCAGAAATTGTACGGTTTGATTTGGTTTGGATTGTTTTACGGCATATTAACCTCAACGGGTTATTTAATGGCGACAAAATTTTTATTGTTGGTAATATTTTTTTCAAAAAATGTATTGCTGTAATATTTTTCTTCGAAAAATCTATTGCTGGTAATATTTTTTTTTAAATGTATAGCTGCTAATATTTTTTACTTTAAAAATGTATTGCTGGTGGTAATATTTTTATCCAGAAATGTATTGGTGGTAATAATTTTTTAACACCCCCACAAAAAACAAAAACAAAAAAAATCAACAAAAAAAAGTATTTCTGGTATTAAAACCTATTTTCACACTTTCATAGTGTTTTGAATCCAGTTTATTGGTTAACTATTTGCCCATTTTTGGGATCCTAACAGGTGCTACCACCTCGGGTAAGGGTGGACATGGGAACACCAGCAATTAAGAGATGGTTCCAAACTCCTCAAAACCTCCTGATCAGGGGCTTTTCTGTTGGATGTAGTTTATCGTCTTACCCAGCACGCGGATGTTGTTTTTCTTCTTACCAGGGACGCGAAATTGTACGTGACTACTATTTCAGGTATACTATGCCCCTAATGAGTCTGTGTTAATCAGTTTCAAGATGACTTTTGCACCCCATTGTAACCTTTCTGATGTATTTCTAAATCTTTATACAGTAACGTAAGAAGCAAATTAAAAATCAGGTTTATATTTTGTACATTCCTTTGGTTCGCTTACACCAAGTAAATGACAAGTAATTTTTTTTATTCATTTTTCACTTTATTTATTTATTTTTTTTTATTTGCATTGATTCGTTTTAATAAAAGAGAAAACAATCCCGATCAATGTTTTCGTACGACGTAAGATAAAAATTGTTTGAATCCTTTTTTTTTATTCGATTTTATGGTTTGTCGTAAGTCTTTCAAAGAGTAGTGTGTATATATATATATATATATATATATATATATATTGATAGTTAATATAATGGAATGTACGATGGAGTAACACAAACAAGAGTTAAAAACATGGAAGACAGTGGTAGAATATTCAGCGTTAAATCGAATAGGTATGAGATACACGAGAAGGCAGGGCGTGTAAAAAAACTGGTGGAGGGGGAGAAATTGAGAAATGGAAAAATAGAAAAAAAAAGTTTTAAATAGGGTGAAAGGAAGAGAAAGGAAGAGGCAGAGAGAGGGGAGAGAGTGGGGTAAAAGCGAAAATCAACGATTTTATCCGTGAAGACAGATCAATCTCGTTAAACTAAATTCGATGCCATCGTATTCTGCTGAGTGCATTATTCCACGGATTTCAGAATTTACATCGAGGGAGATGACCATTAAATTATACTTCGCAACTCCAAAAGATATTTAGTAAAAATATAAATTTGCACTAAAAAGATAAATGCGCGTATGTGTGCACGTGTATATATGTGTGTTGATGTTGTGTGATATAACTATAAAAAAAAACAAAAATAACGGCGTATAAACAAATCAATAGGAATATATATTTGTCGGCATTGCGTGATACAGAAGGCTATGATATTTGAAAGTTTTAAAATCAAAATGAATGACGAAATGTAACAAATACTAAAAAGAACGTGTGGAATGTTTTGAATAGAAAAAAAACAAGCCTATCGAATTGAATACTTGCTATGGGAACATGCAATAATTAAATGGAAAGAAAATGGAAGAAAAGAAGGGAGAAAAGGGAAAGGAATATGAGAAGGAGAGAGAACAAATGAATAAAAAGAAAGAGAGAAAAAAGAAAGAAAGAATAGAAAATGAGGATAACGAAAGGAAAATGGAAATAAAAAGAAAGAACTAAACTAAGAGAAATAAAGAACTAAAAAGAAAGAAGGAACAAAGAAAAAAAAACAAATTGATAACAAGATAAATGAAATGTAGATTAGAAAGAAAGAAAAAAGAAAGAAATATTTAATTTATTAAAAAAGAAAGGAAATAAGTTTAAGAAAGAACAAAGAAGGAAAACGCAAAAGAACGACCAATTTAAGAAAAAAAAGATGAATAAAATGTAGATTAGAAAGAAAGAAAGAAAGAAAGAAAGAAGGAAGGAAAGAAAGAAAGAAAGAAAGAAAGAAAGAAAGACAGAAAGAAAGAAATATCGTTTAGAAAAGGAATGGCAATTAATGAAGGAAGGAAGAGAGGAAAAGTAAATGCGAGAAAGGCGATCTAGATGAAAGAAAAGAAGAAAACGCTCTAGGAGAAAGAAAGAAAGAAAGAAAGAAAGAAAGAAAGAAAGAAAGAAAGAAAGAAAAACAGAAAGAAAGAGAGAAATATCGTTTAGAAAGAGAATTGCAATTAATGAAGAAAGAAAAAGAGGAAAAGTAAATGAGAGAAAGGCGATCTAGATGAAAGAAAAGAAAGAAAGAAAGAAAGAAAAAAAAGAAAGAAACATCGTTTAGAAAAGGAATGGCAATGAATGAAGGAAGGAAGAGAAGAAAAGTAAATGCGAGAAAGGCGATCTAGATGAAAGAAAGAAAGAAAGAAAGAAAGAAAGAAAGAAAGAAAAGAATGAAAGAAAGAAAGAAAGAAAGAAATATCGTTTAGAAAGAGAATTGCAATTAATGAAGAAAGAAAGAGAGGAAAAGTAAATGAGAGAAAGGCGATCTAGATGAAAGAAAGAAAGAAAACGCTCTAGGAGAAAAAAGAAAGAAAGAAAAAAGAAGAGAAATACCGTTTAGAAAGGGAATGACATTTCATGAAGGAAGAAAGAAAGAATGCAAAAGTACATGCGAAAAAGGCAATCGAGATAAAAGAAAGAAAGAAAAAAGAAGAGAAATACCGTTTAGAAAGGGAATGACATTTCATGAAGGAAGAAAGAAAGAATGCAAAAGTACATGCGAAAAAGGCAATCGAGATAAAAGAAAGAAAGAAAGAAAGAAAGAAAGAAAGAAAGAAAGAAAGAAATATCGTTTAGAAAGAGAATGGCAATTAATGAAGGGAGACAGAGAGGAAAGTAAATGCGAAAAAGGCGATCTACATGAAAGAAAGAAAGGTTAAACGTAATAAATAAATAAAGAAAGAAAGAAAGATTAAATGTAAGAAAGAAAGAAAACTAGAATGTCTGTAAATGCAAAAGTACCTCTGGTACAACCGAAATTCTTAGACATTCTGCTATCGGCCACTGCCAATTTTGACACCTTAGAAGCAGTTATGTACCAGCATTCACGCTCACTCACTCTCAATCTTTGTTATTCACTCTACCGTGACGTTTTATCTACTCTTTCCCAACAGGAAAAGTCTCTCAGCATAATTTTTCTTTATTTTCATTGGCCTTAACCCTCTGAACCTTGTGTTCCCGAAAAATTTTAAGTCTTAGCTTCTGAGTAAAAATTCGTAAATAATTAGTATGTAATGTTTAACGGTAGATATAAAAATAGTAACAAGTGTTTACCCACCGTTCAACCGGTAGCTGAGCATTAAGTCATTTTTTCTCTCCCACTGTTCAACCGGTGTCTGGGGATTACGTCATTTTTCTCTACCGCCAGTAAAGCGGTGGTCAGGGCTCAAAGGGCTAAGATAATCGGCCAGCAGTGTACAGACACACATACATACATACACATATCCCTGCTTGAAGCAATCGGACGTCTGGCCACACTGGGAAGCTGAGATACAGAGAAAACAGTCTCTGTGGATGGCTATATATTCTCCCGGGAAATTCGGTTGAACTCTCTAAGGTAAGGAGGTTTTAAAAACAGCGGTTCCTACTGCTATTAAGCATTACTCTTGGAGTATGTTCTCCGTGCCGCTGACCTATTTCGTGTAGAGAAAAACGTTTAAATTATCTTCCTCTTTGCCGTACGACGATGGCCTAGGGATAAGATATCTGACTGATGTCAAATCAGTTGGTTTTCGATCCCGACTTGAAGCATTCGGACGTCTAGCGAAACAGTTTGTCTATAACTATAGGTAAGGTTGCCAAGTTATTTGAGGATATGTCTTTTAATAACTCTATCATTTTTTTCTAACTTTTTCTGGTTATCATTTCATTTCCGATAAAGGATGATAAACAATAATGCAGCTGAGCAAATGAAAAGGTACGCTGCAATCGTTGCCTTAAAGGGAGGACATAGTGATATAGAGATTGCTCGCTTCCTGAAAGATACACGGTCGTTTGTTATCAAAGTTCGGAAAGAGCTGGAAAGCCACTGACGGGGGGATACTACATCAGTAGCCAAATGTAGACTGCCTGCTAAGGACCCAAATACCCTCAGAACGCCCACATTTGTACGGAAAACTATCGATAAGAACAGCATAAGGTCAGTTAATGCCATTGCTAAGGAAGAATTGTGAATGATGACCTTCGGTTCAAGTCATATATGATGCGAAGAGGCACAGTTCATGTCTGGAACGTTAAAAGGTAACCGTCTGAGCAAAGCATTCCAAACTTGAGCATCTCGAGCTTAGAATGCTTTGTTTCTTACGAGAAAGCCAATGATTTAGATTAAAATGTCAACCGAATGTATTATAGGACGTTCCAATGGTCATGCACACAAATCTTTCGGTGGCTGTGATCATTCTGGCAGCCTTGAGCAAGAATAGACATATCATGCCTCCTCATTTTCTTCCTCAGCGCTAAAGGTGCCACTGCTGCCGACAATAAGAAGTTGTTAGAGAGGTCTGTAAAGTTTTGGAACAAGAGAATGAGCAAAGAAAAAAAAAAAACGTACAAAAACATTGTGCCGTCGCATAAGACCAAGACGACCTAGGAATTGTTGAGGTACAACCTTCACGATCACGTCACGCCAAACATATAGACTCCATACTCTCCACACATGAAAAACATTCGGACAACGAGATGGAGTCGAGGAGTAAGTCAGTCAACGCTCACATAACACTATAAAAAAAAATCTGAAGTTCGCCAACAAACAGCAAAAGAGTATAATCTGATTCGGGCATGTCAACGTTTCAGACAATGTACCAACGTAGTCATCGAAGCTATTGGTAGATTCATTAAGTAAATGCCTCGAGAAGATTCTCAAGGTTATTCGTGCCAATCTTTTCTTAAAGCTTTTCTGTCATGAGTTATGCGTCATTTACTAAATTCCAGCAAATGTTCTCAAAGAAATGTGCAACCCTTTATATCAGATTAAAAGAACGGGTAGTTTAATATTTCTTCGTTCTTTTTTACATTGCCGTTCATCTGGTACAAGGCTCCGGATCTACTCGAGGCAGAGGGGTACAAATTAAAAAAAAACTTGGTTCATGCGGATATGTATGAAGATAAAGTTTACTCATAAAATTGAACAGGTTAAGATCGTAGTTTGTCGGGGAAGTATTTGGGTGTGGGTACCATAAAGTTGGTTCCACGGAAGGAAAAATTGGTATGCTGAGTTCAAATTCAGGTCAAGTTCGTTAAAGTCACTTTTGTACAAATACCCATGCTGAAGTTGTGTCCATCTTATATCATATTTAACCCATGAGATGGGTCAAAAATCATGAGATACTGGACTCTTCAGCCAGGCTATTACAGCTTAATTTAAAACATGAGGAGAGCTGTTTGGAAATTGTTTCTAGCGCAGTTTTCTGTTATCAGTTCTTCAAAAACTATAGCTTGTTCGACGCAACTATTCATTTTTTTCCAAAATGTATGTGTATTTAGTTTCCTTGTTCGACTGTGTGTTGTAATCGACTGTAGAAGCGTAAAAAAATTCATAAATAAAACTCACCATTAACATTATCTAATGCAGCCAAAAAGTCTTCATGAAAAGAAAATATAATTAGAGTTGGCGACAAAAAATCACAGATGTCAAATGAAATAAAAACAAAACTACAGAGAAACACTAATAACATTCTTTAGAAACATAAACAAGCTCATTACCTCTAATAATCTCGAAATAGGATAAAATTAGTGGTGAATACAAACTAAGATTTATCGAAAATCAAAACTGGAACTCCATTAAACCCACTAATTTCAAATATTTTACACAAATTTACCATATACCCAAACGACTTAACTAGATTATTCCTCCACGCTTAAATTCTAAATATAGTAGGGCTGGCCAAACTTTCTTAATGTAAGAGCCACATACGATAAATTCAGATGAACCGCAATACATTAACAAAATTCACAATTTTTGTTACATACAAATGTGACCACACCCAAATCTTTACCCCCCCCATCTTAACCATGATGTCACTTTTATGACATTCTTCTGTAACCCTTGCTGAACCGAAATTTCATTAATTCCACCCCACCCACCATTCCCTCGAGCAGAACTGAATAACAACGCCTCTCACAGATCTAGCATTAAAATTATTATTTAAATTCTTAAATATTTTTACTAATCATGAATATTAAATTTACGTTTTAATCAAATGGGTTCTCTATTCATACCTGGTAAATAACACTGGTCAGCACTATTTTGGTGCCAAGAAATAAAACACGTTCTTTAGCTAATTTCATGGTGCTGATTCCGAAAGTGAACTTAGTCTTTCATGGTTAGCTACCGTTTTTGCTGTACTGAAATTGCTCATTTTTGGAAAAAAAAGATCAACTTACGATCTTGGCTGATCGCCATATGTAGTTAATAAAGAGCGTAGAAAACACATCAATATTCAGGTAGGTCGTGCAAATTTATGTCAGCCACCTGAAATAAACTATTTTTATAAGAGAAAAAGTGTTCTTGAGTGAAAAATTTTAAAATAGAAGTACCGAATCTTTCCAATTTTTCACCAAAATTCAAATTAACTGATAAGCTTTATCAGTAATACACTTTAGGAAACCTGATAATTAGGGTGACATAAAAAAATAAAATCCGCGTCCTGGGTAAGACGTTAAACTACATCCGCGTCCTGGGTAAGACGTTAAACTACGTCCAGCAGCAAGGCCTCTGATCAGGAGGTTTTGAGGAGCGTGGAACCACCTCTTAATTGCTGGTGTTCCCAGGTCCACCCTCACCCGGGGTGGTAGCACCTGTTAGGGTCCCAGCTATGAGCAAATAGTTAACTATTACCAGAAATACTTTTTTGAAAAAAATTATTACCAGCAATACAATTTTGAAGGAAATATATTACCAGAAACAGATTTTTGACAAAACAAAATATTACCAGCAATACAAATTTTTGTCAGTATCAAATAACCCATTGAGGTTGATATGCCATAAACAAAATAAACCAAACCAATCTAAACCAAAGAATACATATTCTATTCATACGAATCTATACTAAAAATGTTGTCGGCATTAAATCACCCATTGAGGTTGATATGCTGTAAAACAAAGTAAAACAAACCAATCTAAACCAAAGAATACATATTCTATTCATACGAATCTATACTAAAAATGTTATCGGCATTAAAAAAAAACCCATTGAGGTTGATATGCCGTTAAACAAAATAAACCAAACCAAACTACAGATGAAATCCAAGCACATTGAGAGCATTTTGTTTTCACGAATGGAAAGAAACTCCAACTAAAAGACATCCCAATTGAATGCACCTATTGCATTGTACATGATACTGCTGAAGTATCAAATGGGACTTAAATAACATTGAACATGGCAGACGATCAAGAAAGAAATTTTTTCACCATAGTTCTTATGTCCACGAAGGTTTTATTTCAGCTTTTAATTTATTAAATTTGATGAAAATGATTGTTGTTCTTGATATATTCAGTCGTGTTATTTTTAAAGACTTAGGGTCTGTTTTTTTTTGTTTTTTTTACAAAAATAGTATTTCTCAATAAGTAGACCAATATTTGTTGGTTTAAATACAAATTGAGGGATTTTTACGGTTTTATTTTGAGAAATATTGCCATCGGTCAATATCATATATACAGAAAACAAATGAAAAAAAATTTTTTTTTCCCCCAAAATGAGGCATTTCTGTACAGCAAAGACGATAGCCATCCAAGAAAAAGTAAGGTCATTTTCAGATTCAGCGAAATCAAATTAGCTAAAAAAGATGTTTACTGTTTCGACACTTTATTTATATTTTTCGGACTTTTGTCCTCATCTTTGTCGCCATATTTATTACAAAGTTTCGGCCGCTGTACGCTCCGGTTTTCTTCAGGTGATTAGAATGTCGAATGGAACCTTCGCTCACGATGGTAGACTGTTCTAGTTCCTCGTACCATGCTTAATGGATATCAGTTATCAGTTATCTCCTGTTAATTTCCCTCTGAAAGTTTCTCCCTGCCTAAACCGGGGATTGAACTCACACTCTTTGGGTAAAGTCACTGGATCTAACTAACCCTTTATCCAGTTGTGCCATATGTCCTAAAGGAATAATGTAAAATAAGCGACATAATACCTCATCTCAGAAATATAGACAATAGGAAAAGGCCGAAACGTTTTAAATATGGTGACAAAGATAAGGACAATAGACCGAATAATGTAAATAATGTACATAATACCTCATCTCAGAAATATAGACAGATACTGTTTCGACACTATTTCAATTTTTGTTTGACCTGTGTAATTATGAAGTTTAATTTTTTTCTTATTTATCTTTTATATTAACTATGAGGAAAAAGAGGCTCAGCTAACATATCTCCACGAGCCGCGTATTAAAGGTCAAAATGCCGCATGTGATACGCGAGCCACTGTTTGGACACGCACCTGAAATATAGCATACATTTCAATTAGTTCGTACTTTTTATTAATACTTATAATAATAAGCTAATAAAATTAATAACGGTGACATAAAAATGTATTTACTAATGGAACTTTTATCGAAACAATCTGTATAATAACTTCTACCATAAAGTTCCAATTATTACTATCAACACCATCGCAGTCCCATTACCAGGTGTGGTCATAGAGTAGTTTTGAAATGACCACTTGACCATCTCCATTCACAAATCATGGTTGTGTGTCAATATTTTGGTTGAAAGTTGTAGATCTATTCATTCATCGTGTCGGGTGAATTCAGCCCGAAGTCGGGCGACCGGTTGATCAGTTGAACTCTCTGCCTTCGGGCGGGAGGAATCCAAAATTTTTACGCCGAAGGGCTTCTATCTTTCGAAAATGAAGTAAACCGTTTATACAGGTTCAATTGAAACCTTTTTGGCTCAGTTCCCACGTTAAAAAGACCTTGTTTTTTTATGACGCCCTCGTGTTAAAATTTTTACTGAATATCATTTTATCGTGTCGGGTGTCTTGGGTATAAACCTTAAACCTGGTGGAGCTCATCCCTCAGACAACAAGCGATATTAAAAAACAGGCTCGACTCGCAGCTCTCGAATACATCTTTCCAGCATTTCATCGGAAAACCTTCCAGCACGCTCTGCGCCCAACGAACCTGTCACCATTTCCAGCATCAATGTCACCAGTAGGTAGAAGTCAATTGTCTGAATGACCGCCTAAAAATTCCATTCACGTATGACACTTTCCTGAAGACTGACTGATTTAGTTCAGCCGAACGAAATTTTAGTTTACTGGAAAAAAATGGCAAAGAGGGAATGATTAGGAAATGATCACAAACACACCACACAACTCCTTCTTTTTCGCAAGGCACACAAACTGCAGCCGTCGTAGCAATAGGGAGCGTTAGGGCAAGGTAGCCTGATGTAGCCCAACAGACTCCAGGCTGGTTTAAATGAAGAGTTTTTCTTCTTTTAGACTTCTTGTCAAACAAAGTTATAGGATCCATTCAGTCCTACTACTTAACCCATATATGGAGGAGATTGGGTAGATTCATACCTTTCTGTGATCATGATCCTGATCGTGACTGAGATTTCCAGCAGTAATGAACTAAGAGGATTTTTTGTCGCTCGTGAACGGATTGTTATTAAATAACAATTATTAATATTATTGTTATTTGTTATTATTATTATTATTATTATTTGTGTATGCTATCTTTCCTGCTTTGTTTCCAGTAGAGCCGGGTTCAAACAAGAGCTCTTACACTCTATAGGGGAATTGAAATTTAATTGTTTTGTGATGTCGGACGCTTACTCGTCGTTGCCACTTTTGTGATGTCAACGAATGCTCGTTATCACGTTCGTAATTCTCGTTTTAGTCGAGATTTTGGAATCACAGATACTAGTAGCAACTCCTTCGATTAATACTCGCACTAGTAATACTTGTTCAAATAGTGACCGCCGAATACTAATCCGTCGATGGATCACTAAATAAAACGTTTATAGCAGAGGATAGTACATTAGAATCACCATCCTTAGACGCCTGGCTAGTTTCCCATATATACTTTTGTGCGTACAATCACGCGTTCTACTTATTTCGAAATGGGATCGTCCTGTGTTTTGCTCTCTGGTGATCTGTGTTCAAACTCCAGTATCTATCATACATGCACTTTATAAAGATACAACAAAGAAAAGCACTTTTCTTATTATGTATTTATTTTGTCTCTTCTGAGAAAGTTGTGACACAAGGTTTTTTTACGGTGGGTACCTGAAATCAGTGGGCTGAGCAAAAATTTACAGCACCCTAAATCAGGTTTGTCCGAAAAGGTACAGATCCCTCTCTCTACTGCAACTATGGGTGCGGCCTCGGGAACTTGTTGCAAAAATTGCTGGTTACATATCAATATAATCTTCCTCAGTTGAAACTCTTCTTACAAATCAAGCCAAGTTTGGGTGCACTCTAATAAAAAATAAATCGCAACTGAAGAGATAAAAGATTTACAAACTCCTCGATGTACTAAATTTACACACTAAAAGCTCACCACTTTTCTACCTGTATCGGTTGTTCCTAGTAGGGCGATTTTCCTGGCAACTTGCATGTTGATATTACCTAGGACACTGTTAGGAAAATTGTCCATCTTTTACTCACAAGGTCCAGTGCTCCGATTACTACTTCATTCCACGCATACTGTTAATCTCGATCTTGAGGTCCTTGAATTTGGAAAATTTTTCCATAATTTTCATGGAGGTGTTTATCTCATATGATATTACTGTTATTATTATTATTATTATTGCTGCTGTTGCTGTTCTCCTAGCCAAACAATGGGCGAAGACAGATAACTGTCGACTCATAAGCAACTGTTTCAGGTAGATGGAGCTCAACAGTCCTGGAAGGCAATCCATCTAAAAGAAACCACCGCTGCCTTGCGGTCATGTTATGGTGAAACACACCTATTCTATAGTTAATAGACTCTCCCACCTAATATAAGTAGGAGTAGAAAGAGAAACGAAGGTCAGTCGATGTCGGACGACCGGCTGAACGGTTGAACTCTCCGCTTTCGGGCGGGGAGGAACCCGAACGAGGCTACGCCGAAGGGCGGAGTCTCTTTCGGGGAGGTAAACCGTCCCTGAACCCGTTTATACGGGTTCAATGGGCATATTTTGAGGCCGAGCCCACGGGCTCGGTGAATCCACAATAAATAACCGACCTTGTGTCACATGATGTCCCAGTGGGAAGGGTGACTGAATATCCAGTTGATGTCGGACGACAGTCGAACTCTCTGCCTTCGGGCAGAGAGGAACCCGGACGAGGCTCTGCCGAAGGGCAGAGTTTCGTCCGGGAAGGTAAACAGACCCGATCCCGTTTATGCGGGGGTCTACGGGGATTTTTTGGCCGAGCCCACGGGCTCGGGAACCCCACATTAAATTCGGCCTTGTGCCACATGTGACTGCGTGGGGCAGTTACTAAATAGCGTCGATGTCGGACGACAGTAGTCGACAGTTAGTCGAATACGAAAGTAGTCAGCGACCACAACAAGATTACTCTGCGTAATACCTATTATATCAAGTTTCTAACGTTTTGTACGTCGAACCTATTTTATGATCGATTTAGTACAAATACAAGCCTCCACTGCGAAATAACTCTACAACAGGTCATCTCCACCCAAACATGGAAAAAGGTATGGGAGTAAATACAGACAGAAAACTCAAAGTGGAGCTCCGAATTCGGTTGGCTGACACTTTCCGGCAACCCCTCTTATCAAGCCATCTCCAAATGTAACGCTCTGAATTCCTTTGGATCTTGTTGGTAGAGCCGAGACTATCATGGAAATCTGGCCAGTATTTGCAACCTGGAAAGGTCACTCCAAATTCCCTACCAAAGGAATGAAGCTTGATCAAACAGTGCTCTACATTTATAAATATAAACCGATGCCTACGTTTGTTGTTGCTGCTGTTAAAACAATTGGTTAAATGTTAAATAATTGAAAATAATCGAATAATTAATAAATAAATAGTAAAAAAAAATTACAAAAGCAAAGTTCGGATTCGAAACGCCTTACATACAAATTCAAAAATACGTCCTCTTCCATGGAAACGAAAAATTCAATTTCAATGGAAATATTTTGAAACGCCAGGAGTATTTACATTATCTAAATTATTCGTACTGTTATCCTCATCTCCCTTGCCATATTCACAACGTTTCGACCGTTTTACGCTCTGGCCTACTTCAGGTGATTGAAATTTCGAACCGAACAATTTATTTCGTTCACCAAGGGAGATTGTTCTAGTTCCACGTGCCGTGCCTCTTCCGGGTGTCTCGGTTATTTCCCTTCAGCTCAACTCTCTTAGTATTTTGGCTCACCACTGCTGTAATCTGGTATTGAACTCACAACTCTTTGGGTCCAGTCAAACGCCTTTATATGTCCCAGAGATTCATAAACAGATGTCCTCAAGAATACATGGCCCAGTGGATAAAGGCTTTCGTTAGATCCTGTGACTAGACCCAAAGAGTTGTGAGTCCAATACCAGGCAACAGCAGTTTTGATCTAAAATACTTGGAGAGTGAAATTGAATGGAAATAACTGAGACTTCCGGGAGAAGCATGGCACGTGGAACTAGAAAATAAAGGGTTCTGTTCGAAATTCTAATCTGAAGAAGGCCGGAGCGTACTACGGCAAAAACGTTGTGAATACGGCAATAAATGAAGATGGTGATAACAGTCTGGTAACAATGAAGATGATGATAACAGTCCGAATAATGTAAATAATTTAAGTAATCATAGACAGATAAGCCAGGAGTCTACTAGAAATAAGTTTTGTCTATTCAACGCACTAAAATATTATATAGATAAGTAAAAAAATAATCTATGGGCTTCTTTTTCATCCGTCATTTTTAGCTATGTTTTAGTTGATAACCATATTTCAGTAGACGAAATAAGAACTGTTTTTAAATAGTACTTATTTCGTCTACCGGCCGGCTCATCCGAAGAAATTCATTAAAACGTTATTATCCACTGGAAGGAGACGAAAATTCAAGAGAAACCAGCGCCTAATCCTGGAGTGGTTGGTGCGGAGACGTGATCTGACCGCTAGGATACGGAGAGCTTCACAATCAAGCAACATTCTATTTGTGTTAATGTACATTCACTTGTTCAGAATTTCTCGAAAGCCATATCTACCCAGTTTCACAAGTTGGTATTTGCTAAACAGAACGTCTACTCAAATACGGTTATCTACTAAAAATAACGTTTGAAGTAATCAAAGTATCTGTCTATATTTCTGTGATATTCCAACCACTTTAAGAAGGCCGGAGCGTACAACGGCCGAAACGTTGTAATAAATATGCTGGTAAAAACATGCAATGATAACAGCAAAAATTGCAATATGAACACTGGTAAAAAAAAATGGTTGCTGAAGACATTAGGTTTATAACACCCAGAAATTCATACACAGATACCCTCAAGGACACATGGCACAGTGGATGAAGGCGTCAGTTAGATCCAGTGACCCAAAGAGTGTGAGTTCAATACTCGGTTAAGGCAGTGGAGAACTTTCAGAGGGAAAATATACTGACATCTATTAAATATGGCACGTGGAATTAGACATTCCAGCCACCTGAAAAAGACCGGAGCGTACAACGGCCGAAAGGTTGTAATAAATATGGTTACAAATATGAGGACAATAGTCCGAATAATGTAAATAATGTAATCAAAGTATGTATATATGTGTGTGGTGGAAGGTGGTATAAATATGAAAATGGTGCAGATATTCGATAGTATAATTATTTATAAATGTTTATATCGGTATCGTTAACACAGGGCGGGTGATAAGTTTTAGCCAGCGACCAGAGGAGGCGGGAACATTTTTTGCGATATTCATAATCTAATGGCGAGAATCGAAACATTACAAACAGAATAATTGAGAAGAATAAGTAGATAGGATTGTTGGTCCGGACAATTATCAGCTCCATTGAGGATTGTCTGAATCAATGCAATGAAGCGGAAACATAGGAAAGATGAAAGTAACGATCGATAACGGGGAGGGGGGAGTAGGGTTAATGATTAGAAAGATGGCGATAAATAGAAAGAGACGGAGAGGAATATATATATATATATATATATATATATATATATATATATAGAGAGAGAGAGATCAAACAAAATATAGATAGAAAAAAGGCGGATAGTTAGATAGATAGATAGATACACAGATAGATAGATATCAAGAAATATATAGATGGAATGCTAGAGAAATATAAAACAAAATGTAGATAGATAGATATAAAAATATAGATAGATAGAAACAAACTGATAGATAGATAGATAGATAGATAGATAGATATCAAGGAATATATCTATATATCTATATATATATATATATATATATATATATATAGAGAGAGAGAGAGAGAGAGAGAGAGAATGCGAGAGAGATATAAAACAAAATGTACATAGATATGAAACAAAATATAGATAGATAGAAACAAACTGATAGATAGATAGTTGTCAAGGAATATATAGATAGAAATGATAGATAGATATCAAACAAGATATAGATAGGTATAAAATATACATAGATATAGAAAAAATATAGATAGACAGGAACAGGCGGACAGACAGACAGACAGATTGATAGATACCACGGAATATATTGATAGACTGTCAGATATCAATTAATATATATATATATATATATATATATATATATAAAGATAAATAGATAAGGTATCAAACAAAAATATAGATAGAAAAAGACTAAGAGATAGAGAGATAGATATAAGCAGTCTAAGTCATGTAGATATGAGCAGTCAGACAGACAAATAGATAGATAGATAGATAGATAGATAGATAGATAGATATCACGGAATATATAGATAGAATGACAGATATCAATCAATATATATATATATATATATATATATATATATATATATATATATATATATATATATATATATATATAGATATATATAGAAACATAAATAGATAAGGTATCAAACAAAATATAGATAGAAAAAGACTAAGAGATAGATAGATAGATAGATAGATAGATAGATAGATAGATAGATATCAGCAGTCTAAGTTAGGTAGATATGAGCAGTCAGACATAGATAGATAGATAGATAGATAGATAGATAGATAGATAGATAGATAGATAGATAGATAGATAGATAATTCGTTTCTTTGTAAGTAAAGCTTAAGTCAAATTATCACAAAATGCGAACTGAAATCCTTTCAGCATTCATTGAATTAGAAGCGCCCTTTTTAAAAATATGATTTGATTATGATGATCACTTTTTCTTCCCTTGGAATTTTAATGCATTTATAAGTGGTGCATGCTGGGCGCTTGGTGCAGTGCAACCAACTTCCCCAATTCTGTTTCCAGCAGGCATGACATCCAAGATTTTATAATGTTTGCAATAGATCTACATACTGTTGAGCGCCCATCATGTTTCCTTTGTTTTAAATCTGATTATATCTTTGGATAAAACGACATGGAAATTGCAAATCTTGCTTGAATATTGCTTGATGTTTTTCAATTCAAATATATATATATATATGTGTGTGTGTATGTGTGTGTGTGTGTGTGTGCAAATACATAGAATAATAGGAAAGAACACATGTCAATAATCCGAAGTTCTTTAGTATTTCTGTTTTAATTTTTTAAAAAATACGATTCCTTCGCTACATAAGAGTTCTCATGTTTCAAAAACCACAGCCAAAAGCTCTGTTTCATCCTCAAGCGAAATTTTTGGGAATAACTATTCTTGAAGTTTAAGCATCTTTAGAAGCATATTCTTTCGTAGAATTAATTACTATAGAAACGGCTGAAGCGACCCGTCCAGTAGGGGGCGTAAGGGTAAACAATTTGTAGTAAAATATCAGTCACCCTCAGAAAGAGGCCAAGCTAAGGTAGGGCCGGGGTGTCTTATTTCAAAGCGAATGATGACATTCCTATACGCACATTGTCTAGTTCGTCTTAGCGACAGAGGGTTATTGGCACAATTGTACGCCGTTAAGTGTCTAAAGATTTTTTCCTAAAAGGGTTGTTCGTACATAAACGCCTCGCACCCAACTACAATTTGTTTTTTTTACGACATCATAAAATTTTTTTTTATCTTGTGATTGAATTGAGCTTTTAAACCCTTTATTAGACCATGAAATGTTAAATATTTTATGCTAATTATTTAATGCGAAAATTTGTTGATGTCGGCAAAAAACCGTTAACTCATGTCTATGGTTTAATAAATTTTCATTATTTAGAAAAAAAATTCTAAGTTTCTATTTATGAACATCGGCCATGTAGCACAAGCAAATCTTTTTTGCTTTTTCTTTGCTGAATAAACTGTCTTTTTATTTTGGTATATATGAGTTTCCACTTGAGGTCAAGTGTGATTTTGAAGACCAATATTCTCTCAAGACTTTAAACAATTTGGCCACAGAGGAGCGTTCGGTTCGCAAGGTCGAATTTACTGCCTTTAAATTTCAAAGTTAAAGGTACGTCAGGCTATATGACGGTTCCGTATAGGATACAGGTTCGATTCCTGTCGGAAGACGAATATTTTTTATGAAAATTTCTCGGACATTCAGGCCAGTAAATGTTGTTTAATACTGTTTATTATAAACAGAGCATTTACTTAAATATTTGTATGTATAAAAAGAATGTATAAACATAAAAATGTCTTAAAATAATGGTCCAATTCATATATATATATATATATATATATATATATATATATATATGTGTGTGTGTGTGTGTGTGTGTGTGTGTGTGTGTGTGGAGAAAAAAGGAAATAGCACAATCTATGAACATCTCACTACTTTGTTATGTTCGCCTTAATAAAAAAAAAAGCAAAGATGCTATTTCCAGAAAAAAAAAACTCTTAATGAAAACATCAAAGCTCATTTCCGAACTCAGACAAGAAATTGATTTCCTTCTAGGCTACCTACAACCACAGCACGACTCCAAATTCGAAGCAACTATTAACTCATAAAATAAATCCCAAAAACTTTCTTTTAAAGGAAAGCTAAAATTTAGAACGAAAGGAAATAAACAAAAAAAAATATAAAATAAAAATGATAAATAAATAAAATTTAAAATAAAATATACGTAAAAAATAAAAATTTTCTAAATAATGATGACAGCGTAGTGAATTCGATCATCAGTGTGCTACATCTAAGCTTCACTTAGCAAATTACTATATTTAATTGTAAGAACCACTCAAGATATATATATATATATATATATATATGTATTTTAATACATTTTTTGTTTATACGTTATTTTTATAGATACAAATATTTAAGTAAATGCTCTATTTATAATAAATAGTATTAACAACATTTACCGACGTGAATGTCCCAGAAATCTCAAAGAAAATATGTGTCCTGCGACAGGAATCGAACCTAAATCCTACACGGAACCGTCATATAAACTGACGTAATATACCATTTAGCTGCAGAGGAGTATCTGGTTAGCAAGGTTAAAATACTGTTTTTAAATTACAAATTTTCCAAGATTTCTCTCGAATGATCATATCTGCTCGAAGCGTATCTTAACGTAAACAAATGACTTCATATATTAGGAAAGGAACTAAGCCTGAACATCCGAGAATGTTCAATTCCTGTCAGAGGGCACATATTTTCTTTGAAATTTCTCGGACATTCAGACCGGTAAATGTTGTTAATACTGTTTATTATAAACAAAGCATTTACCTAAATATTTGTATCTATAGAAACTACGTATAGACAAAAATATATTAAAATAGTTCATTTGGAGATCTGCCATTAGAAATCTGTAACATGTCAAACATTTGGTGTGGGATGTAATTAAAGATGACTAATATCATCAAAATTCTTTCTATTTATTTCGTTTATCTGCTAGGACGCCAAAGAAAAGACGGTGGTTTCCCTATTATCCTTCTATCTGTGAACATTAAACGAAATCAATTGCTCGACAATAAATTGCTTGAATTCAATTGCTCGAAAAATGATTTCTCGAACTATCAATTGCTCGAAAGGCAGATTGCTCGAATGTGACGTCGCCCCTCCTTGGTCGCAGCGTCGACTCTGTCGTTCGATCTCGTTCGCGGCTCCAACTGTGACGTGACGTGATGTGGCCGCCCAAGGGTCGATCCTTGTCACGGACAGCACCAGTTGTGACGTTTATTGCCGCGGCGTCAGCTGTTCGCTCCTCGCTGCTCCAAGTGTGACGTTCCAACCCTCTGGTTAGATGATTACCAGCCTCGCCGTTCCCAACTCGCTTCCAACACCTGGTTACTAGGGTAACTGTACTGATCTCGGTCTGCCTACCCACGTTGTGATTAGATCTTAGACAGACGGAATCAAACAGGAGTCGGGGCCGTATGCCAGCTGGGTTCAACAGGGGGTGGCAACACACAAGTAAAAAGAAAAAAAAAAAAACTCACGAGGCAAAAAAATTACTGATAAGAAAGGGTAACAACCTTTTATATCTAATGTTCGTTACATAAAAATTATTCTTACTTCCCGACCCGTTTTGTGGACTGTGGCACCAAGCTTCTATCATTCAATTTAAAGACTTCGAGTTGCCTACTCTCTAGAATTTTGTATGTCGGAGTGTGGTTTGGTTTCGACACTGGGCGCTAATCTCTACCAGTCGTTCACGGCTGATTCTTCTCTTCGGCTTGAGTTGGACGAGCTTATTCGCTTCGGCTTGAGTTGGACGTATTTCTTCACTTCGATTTGGGCTGGACGAATCTCCACCCTCAGGCTTGGCCTGGTTTCAACTTCTTCTAGACGCAACTGCAAGTAACTTCTTCTTCTTCCGTCCTGCAACTCTTCTCGCCAAGGTCCGAACTCTTCTCTCTGCCGTCTGAGGTGAACTCTTCTCTCTGCCTTCCGGGGCTGAACTGTTCTGCTTGTTTGGCCTGCAACCTTACTGCCTGTCTGGCCTGCAATTCTTCGGCTTATCTAGCCTGCAGCTCTTCTGCCTATCTGGCCTGCAATTCTTCGGCCTGTCTGGCCTGCAGCTCTTCTGCCTATCTGGCCTGCAATTCTTCGGCCTGTCTGGCCTGCAATTCTTCGGCCTGTCTGGCCTGCAGCTCTTCTGCCTATCTGGCCTGCAATTCTTCGGCCTGTCTGGCCTGCAATTCTGCTCCAACTTCTCTGCGGCTTTCGAGCAATTTTCTTCTCTTCGACTTGGCTGCAACTTCTCTGCCTGTCCGGGCCAAACGGACCGACCCTTCTTGCCCGCAAGGGGCGAATGAACAGGGCCCGCCGTCCGCTCTTCAACTGCTCTGGCCGTCTACCCCGCAACTCTCTGATTTCTGTCGATTGGGGTTCTGCTTTTATTGACGCCGCAACAAACTGGGGTGGGTCTGTCGGCGTCAGGGTTTTCTTGATAATTCCGAAAGTCGCATTAGATCTGATTTCCCATTATCGCTCTTATTTTCACCCCTACTTCCTCACAGTGCCTCTGGGGGGGAGGCGCATACCCATCTCTCCCGGTCTCTCGTATGTCAGGTGACCGTTTTCGACCAATGGGTCTTGGTCGAGCGCCCTTTCTCCTCTTTCTCGCATATCACGTGACCGCTTTCGGCTAATGAGATTCTGGTTGGGCGTCTCCCGTCCTTCGTGACGTCTCCAATCGGGCGTGGCCTATCCGGGCTTTGTTCTGGGAAAGAAACACCTTGCTAAAAAAACAAAATCCAATTTGGCCTTTTTCGCACGCACGAAAATGACAATCTCGGCCTTTCTCACCTTTTGGTTTTTGTCAAAACAGCCCGCCGCTAATTAGATGTGACTTCAGGAAGAATTTTTCTCGTCTCGCTGGTGCTTTCTGTGAGCCAAAACAATTGTTTTCATGTCTTTTATTTTCGTTCAGGCCTGACAGTCAAAATCTTAATTATCTGAATTGAAAATATCCTCACTTCATCATCGTGGGGGTTCTAATCTTCAACAGGTCAGGATCTGTATACAATTCCAGCGGTCACCTTCTCATTCCAAAGACACCCCTTTCCGATTAATATTTCGTTTTCCATTGTTCTAAAAATCCCATTTCTCCAAATTGATAATGAGCTTCTACATTCCGTGGACACAAAAGTAGGCCAGATGTTTTGACCGATATTTTTATCAATCGTACGTATGTTCATCCACTTTTACCATGTCTGTTTTCTTTTTATTTCTTTCATTATCTCTAGACTTATTCTTAATTTCTATTGTTCGAAATTCGGTCAGGCGCGTTGGCCTAGATATCTCTTGACACCTGTTTTCGCTTATGACCGGCTTTTGCATTACCCATCTCTCCCTCTCTTTTCCTTTCTTTTCCTCTTTCTTTTTCCCTTCTTCTTCCCTTAGGGTCGCCTAAATACAATTAGAGAATTATTCTCAAAACTCAATTATTCTTCGTCTAAATAACTAACTCGTTAATAAACCGAATAAAAATTAAATCATATTTCTATGAATATTTCTTTTTAGTTTTTCTAATAATGCAGGGTGCCACACGAAGTACTTTCATACTAAAAGAGTAAATATTAGCAACAATAGTTATATTTTTTTATTTTTTTAAATCACGAAGAATAACAGTAATAATAAAAATGTACCCTTTATTTTAAACCAGGGGTCGGCAACACATTCGACCTCGTGGGCCGGATCGTGTTATAATGACGGGTCGCGGGCCGGACGAAGGCCATTAATGAAAAATGAAAAGGATTATAATATAATATCCTTATAGCTGTGAACGCTAAAGACCGCCTAAACAACGCCCTCTACCCGGGATTACCCGGGATTACAAGTTAAGCATTCTGTCATTTACAAATCTATAACATATCTAGCGATGGATTTAATTAAAAATGATTAAAATAATCTAAATTCGGTGTTTTTAATTGGTTCCTTTACCATGACACCAAAGAAAGCATGACAGTTGCTATATCCTTTAATCTGTGAACGCTAAACACCGCCTTACTACGCCCACTGTGTGGGACTACGACGAAAGCGTTCTGCCATTTATAAATCTATAACATCAATCTTTTTGTGTTTGATGTAATTAAATATGCTTAAAATGGTCTAAATTCTGAGTTTTTATTTGGCTTATCTGCTATGACACCAAAAAAGCACTGCTCTTGCCCTAATATCATTCACTTTTTGAACATTAAACCTCGCCCGACTACGCCCGACTACGCCCTCTACCAGTCACTATGACTATGGCATTATACAATCTACAAATCTATAAAATATCAATCATTTTCTATTAGATGTTCGGTGTTCGTTGGTTTCGCTACGATGACACCAAAGAGACCACAGCAGGTACCCTAATATATTTTTATCTGTGTACACTGAACACCGGCCGACTACGCCCACTGCGCTTTACTACAAGTTAAGCATTCTATCATCTAATAATTTGGATTCTAAGTTCTCATGAATCAACAAATCTGGTGGCAACTGACGTGGATTCCAGAGACACTCGATTCGGGTTTTTAGTCCAAGTCACCAGGCTTCGAAAGCCTTCTACATATATGCACTTCCGCCCAAAATTGGCGTGAGGCTAAAGGATTCTTGCATTCGCTGATTCTTTAATTTTCACAATGACTCCAACAAGGTTTATTTGTCCCCTATTTCAACTTTCAAATTTGGAGAATCATTCACAATTTCAGTAATAGTTCCATGGATTGCTTGTTACTTAACTCCTACCTGCTTCACTTCAGATCTCAATCCACCACTCCATACAGGCGGTGCCAAATTCTCCTTTTTCCTCCTACACTCCTAGCATTCAACCTCAGCCCACTTCCCAGGGCATGCATAACTTTCTTTGTGACAAATTTAATTTAAATCTCGTAGCCGGAAGGGCGGAGTTTTTCTCGTCATTAATTTTAATTCTCTGATTCTTTCTTATTTTCCTGGAATTATCTTTGTTCAGAGAAAATATAAACCAGACTACTAACGATGGAACTTGTTTCATAACTCCGCCTTAATCTTGCATCCAACCGGCTAAGAGTAATTCGTTCTTATTTCAACTTCCGTGCGAAAAATAAGATTATTTCTCCATTTGTTTTTTCTCAAAGAAAATATATTTGTTTGCCTAAATTCTCAAAGAAGAGATGGAATTTTTCTCCATACGTGGAATGATCGCTGTCTTGACCGAAAACTCAAACTAGATCATTTGCTTCTCGCGACTTTTCATTTTCATAACCTCAACCGGGTTCATTTCCTTGTTTTCATTTCTCGATTCGTGTTCGTCAACGTAAACGCATTTGTTTGCCTAAATTCTCAAAGAAAAGATAAAATTGTTTTCCAAATCTGTTTTCGTCCGCATGCCAGACTTTCGATAGATTAGAAAAATAAACTTTAGGAGAGTAGATATCAGGACGGTCTCATTTTTACCACGAAAAATGTCTATGTTAAGTGAAGGTGTCCTTAACTTTACCGACGAACTTAGTCAAAAAAGTAAACTCCCATTCTTAGATATCCTCGTAGAATATAGTAATAACACTTTTATTACCTCATTATATGAAAAGCCCACTTGGAGAAATTGTTGCCACCTTAAATTTAGATAGTGAAGGTCCACACAGTTATAAAATAGCAGTGATAAAAGACTTCCTAAAAAGAGCACACCAGAATTCATCCTCTCGACTACTCTTCCTTAAAGAACTCAATAATGGTAAACAGACACTAACAATGGATTCGCTAGCCACCTTACAGACCATCAAATTAGACTATTTCTCCCCAAATTAAATATCAACGATAGTGAACACACAGTCAAAAATAACATTTTGTAATCGAGTTTGTGAGCAAAAGAAATGATTGTGTGAGAAAAAAAGCCATCATTCAAGTGCCATATGCAAACAGATGCGGCCTCATCAGCTGTTTGTGATACAATATATTTCTGCAAAAACCACGTGTCTGCAAGGATAATCCCATATATGCTTTCTCATATAACACACACACACACACACACACACACACAAACACACACACACACACACACACACACACACACACACACACACATATATATATATATATATATATATATATATATATATATATATATGTGTGTGTGTAAGGCAGGATGTGTGTGTGTGTGTGTGTGTGTGTAACGAATGCACGGGCTGCAATTTTCGACGGATTTGCACCAAAATTTACATGCACATGCTCCAAGTTAGCGGCAAGACCAAGATCGACTTTGCATTTCCCAACTCCCATCAATAGTAGAAATAATTTTTTGATGCTTCTACGGCAGTTTTCATGTAGTTTGCGGCCATTTTGGAATGGCCAGAGTGAGAGACTGCCACGAATAGGCAGGAAGATTCCATTGGCCAGCGTGAGAGCCAACAGCTGACTGACACAAATTTTAACTAGCATGCTAGCATGCAAAAAAAAATCTATAGCTGCATTCATCACAATTGGGAAAAATTTAAATCTGCATGGCACTTTACTCCAATTGGCTCATTCGCTTGCTTAAATGCAACATTGATTCTGATTCCGCAGAACTGGGTTGGGTATGAAAAATTATTTGTTGTTAACATTCTTTTTTCATTCGGTTTTTCCAGTTACGAGTCCTTTTTTAAAGCTGATCGTTTTGTGTTCATTTTGTTTAGTTGTTTTTTTCGTAACAGATTTAATGTTTAGCATAGAGCTTACAAAAAATTCGCAGTGTGAGATAGGCAAGAGGTAGGGCATGTAGCAACACCAGCACGGCAAAGGGCATTCCTTTAAAGGCAAGGAAGGGCAAAAATATTTTAAGTCAAATGACAGCGATTGCTGTATGAGTCGTACGATTTTTTAATCAAGCAGGGGCAACGCCGTGCTATGCTGCTAGTATATATATATATATACACACACACACACACACACACACACACACACACACACACACACACACACACATATATATATATATATATATATATATATATAAATGAACATTGATGTCAACACTCAGGCGACAGACTGTTTCATTCTAAACGCTATCATTAGACCACATGCACTTTTATCGACTCTTTATATATAAGGATCAGTAGTGTATTGTGGGCAGTCTCTTGCATTGTGCGTAGTGTATTCTAGCGGTTATTTTGGCGGGAGTGATTTGTTAATTTGTTTATTAGTTTATTTATGTATTTATTTTGAGTAATTTATTTTACTTTTTTTGCTTATTTATTTTTTATTTATTCTTTTCAGTTTTAGATTTTTAAGTAACGTAGTAAATATTTGTTTTCGTGTCTGCGTTTTGAGTTAAATTATATATATATATATATATATATATATATATATTTCTTTTTTTTTCAAAGATATGTTTCGTGGTACAAAATTTTATCACTTCCATAAATAGACAAAAATTTTTTTTATTATTACCACTCATGATGATAATAAAAAGTAAAACTGAAAAACGGGCCAGCTAACCGGGTTCGAACCTCGCTCAACAGAGCTAAATCTAGATAAATAAGGTAAATTATATAAAAAAGAACAATTGAAAAAGTGTATTGGAGAAAAAAATTAATTGGTAATTAGTTGGAGGCCGAATACAAAGTCCTTCTGCTTACATAGAGAAGGCTTCAACGATATAATATAGATGGCCTCCAACACTTTTAAGTCGTACTTTGAATAGGACTTGCTAAGGATGGTAAATACACACCAAAACTTGCAGCACAATTATGGCTATTTATTATGTGTTCTGTGATGGAAGACTCGTATGTCTTGCTCAAAAAGGTCTGAAGGAGTGTACTTAAGGTTTCGGATTGTCGCTGGAAAGTGTTGTTTTATTCTAGAATCTAGCCTTTGCGTCGTTCTCCCTATGTAGTGCGAACCGCAACTAAATTTAAAAGAATAATTTAACGAACTATTATGATATAGAGGGAGACCATCCTTACGCATAGATGGAAGGACAGGCTTGACAGAGAAAACGACACGAATGTTAGCGGCAAAGTAACAATATAGAACAGCCACAGAAACCTGCTTAGCAGACCTATCACCGATACTACCCAGCCAAGGAAGGCGGAGGTACACAGGACGTCTTTTTACTATAGCGGGTTTGATTTTGTTAAATTCAGAAATGTTATTCTTAATAATTGCTTGAACAATGCCTAATGGATAGGCATTGTTACAGAGAGTAGTAGTAATAAACCTAAGTTCATCCTCCAACTAGATGTCCGAACAGATCATGAGAGCCCTATGGCTAAGGGTCTTACTCTTAATTAAATTAATTTTGCGTTTCCCGGGACAAAAAGAATCCCAACGGGTATACAAACCAGTAAACGTCAGTTTATGGTAAACAGAAGTAATAAAACCCGACGCAGATCTGCTGACCAGCACATCAAGAAAGGGAAGAAATGAATTAACCTACTTTTCCTGGATGCATATTCTTAAGGCACGCAAGAAATTGGTCCGCTTTAATCTCGCTATCGAAGAGACAAAAAGTGTTATCGACGTAACGGAACTTGGCCTCAATAGATAATATAGAATCAAAATTATCTATTGGGCCTAACCGGACAAATTTAGTGGAACCCCAAAGAATTGTCATCATCTTGTTAAAATAATCCTGAAAATCAAGAATAACAACACCAGTACCTTTATCGGGTTTCGTAATTACTAAAGATTTATTATTACGAAGTGTTTACCTGAAATTGCTCCTCGTTCTGCTTTGATTCATTATGTGAAACAGGAGGACCTGCGTAACAATTTGCCATATTATTAAACTTTGCCTTAAGGTCGCTGACTTTGCTATCAGATTCAGGTTAGAGTTTAGGTAGCTGCGCGAAGAAAACCTCAAACTTCAAATACACCTCCTCTCGGTTAATACGTGAGTGGGAAATATAAAAATCCAGTCCGTGCGAGAGGGATGGAGAGTTCAAGCTCAGACAACTGGTATGAAGACAGATTCAGCACATTCTGACCAATACTAGGATTAGCAGAACACCCAATGTTTTTATAAATTAAACATTGCAAGTTATTCTGATGTTTAATGGCAAGTCGAGAACGACTGCGTTCGTGAATAAGTGCTGCATAACGGACAAAACGAATCCTATCAAATTAGGAAAGTAATACCCCATAATTGGTAATATTTCTTATACAAATTGGCAAGACTATGAGAAAGCTTAGATATAAAATTAGTAATAAATGCTTCCTCAATTTTCTGTCCAGGATGTAAATTGGCCCTTTTAATTCTAAAGGAAAGCCCGTTTTTTTATTTTTACTTTTTATTATCATCAGTGGTAATAATAAAACTAATTTTTGTCTGTTTTTGGCAGTAGTATATTGTTGAAATTTGACTAATGCATGGAATAATAATGCAACACAAAATGTACTTAGAACATAATTGTATTGAAACAAGAAAGTGTACACAATATTTACATATAGTCGTTTGTATATTCTTGGGAAGACCGTT